CTCAAATGTCAGTGATCCGCAACACAAAATTAAGGATCAAACCGAAATATTCAAGGGTCAGCATATTTTAATAATCATTGATATTAATGTATACAATTAATTTAGCAACCACATGTATAAAATGTATTTCATAAGGAGAAGTTTGTAATATTGTTATTGTTTTTTGATAAATTAGACATACATATATATTGTGTCTTATTTGACGATCTAGAGACCGGATTAGACCGTAATATTACCAAGCGTATGATTATTACGGCGGCGTAGTAGTCACACGATTAAGGGCAGTGCCATAAGAATCACACGTACGGTCTTAAATTGACTCCAAAAAAGTTAAATCATACACCATTTATTTCAACATCAATCTATTCAGCCTCTTTTGGTATAATTTTTGTGGGAATTAATTAATTTTCTTACACACAGGAGTGTTTTAAATAGCTTGTATTGCAGCAATCTTTAAATAATTATGATAACCTTTGTTATGAATAATTGTAATGATGTTCTAATAAATATTTTTTTTTTAAGTTTTGGTTCAACTTTTTTAATGTGTTATATTAAATGTGTTTTACTTAGTGTTCAAAACAGTTGTGATTTCAAATATCGATAATAGCTATGCGTGTTTGTTATATTTTGCCAGGGATTTAAATAGAAAATCATTGATATGTCATTTTCCTTATTATAATTAGAATAACATTATTTAAACAAATCAAAGCGTTTGAACGTAAGTTAGTTATTTCATTAAATAATGGTTATTAATAAAAGTGCATAAAAGTGCAATCAGATAGAGCTACTTTTATTACCGAAATGTATAATTTGTTTTAGAAATAAGAATAGTGCACGTGTTCGATTATATCGCTCCGAAGTTACAACGGTCATGCGAACGAAATTATATTAAATTTAATCAAACATATTTGAATTTTGTATAGTATTATACTATTTACTCCGAGATCAAGTTTGTGTCACAGCGTGTGTAAATGTGTCTTCAGCTGAAGGTTTATGCAAACTTTTATAATGTTTTGATGTTAAACAAACATGATATCCGAATAAACATGTTTAAACCGCCAGCGACAGTAAAGTCGTAATAATCGGAGCATGGTCTTATATTTAACCAAACATACTAGAAATAATGATATTGTTTCCCAAAATGAATTATGTCAAATAATTGTCTTTCTTTTTTACGAGTACACATACGTTTGTTATCCAACACACATGAGCATCTTGAAAAAAGTAATTGCGGGGAATTGACAAAAAAATAAGAAAAATAAACAAGCGTCTATTCATAATTTTGTTTAATTTCTCTCTTAGATATATTACACTTGTTCATGTTGAAAAATATTATTTGATAAAGAGATATTTTAACTAGATCGAAATTATCAGTGCCATGTCCGGTTTGTTGTATACATAATACAATTTGATGCACTGAGGTGTCAATTCTCTGAAATTCACTCGGCGTGAAAGTAAACATTATGTACTTAACACAAATCGTTTGAAGTGTTGGTTTTTTCTTATATCAATGTACTGACAAATAGGGGTGTCGAGTATTCTGGTATAAAAGCACATTATTTGTCGTCTAAATCTTTAACCACCTGATAAATATCTTATTAGCACAATAGCGTAGTGCCCAGTTGGTGTAAATACTGGAAAAAGGAAATTTTAACATTTCTTTCTTTTTAGTTGTTGTTTTTTCAACAACACGTAAATTCCATTTGAGAACATTGCATACACACATTCGCATCGAACAGGTTAAGTATAAGACAACACAGTTGTGATTAAGGTGCAATGGAAAAAATATATGTACAAATGACTATTAACAACGTTATGTCATCTTTATAAAACTACCTCAGTAAATAAATGTTGTCGAGTGTATTTTTTATTTAGAATGTAAACATTAAGTAATGTCTATATATTTAGTACTTGGAACATATTGATACATACATAAAAGAGAAGGGAGTTCAATGTCGTATGGTAACCATAGGTTTTGTATGGAACATTCAGATGGGAGGCGAACTGCGGAAAAATTCCGTTGATCTCAATAATATAGTTTTCGCCCCTTAACCCATTACTTCATGAGCATTTTGTGAAAAATGGCTGTTTTCTGTTTTCATTGAAATGTCTCCCGCTACAAGTTCAAATTGCTATAATACTATAAAAACTGCTTCAATACTAATCAAACTTGGCACAAATGTTTACTGGACCATTGACCTTGAAACAACATGCTCAGGCTTAAATTTTCTGTTACCATGGCAACGAGGGGACATCTCAAAATTGCCAAAAATCACTATTTTGCGTTGAATTTTTCCATCAAAATTGATTTCAAAGTGCTGCAACTTCTCAATGGATTGAGATAGAGTCAAATGCTTTTCAGCGTTGGTTACACGGTACCTTATGATCAATCTGGGGTCATTTATAGCCTCTTACATGTCCAAAATTTCCTTGGCGATGAGGGGGACTCCGCCCCCTTCAAACCCCTAAAACAAAAGGGGGCACATCCCCCTTCTGGCAACCCCTTGATGTATCTTTTGGTTGGTGGGCCGCGCCGAAAAAATGGTCACTTTTTTAACAACATTTCTCAAACAAAAACAAGTATTGGGGGCCTAAATAAGGCATTTTTTCACCATTAGAGACAACAAAAAGGGGGGGGGGTAAAAAGGCGTTAAAAGGCGTGTATATGAAGTAATGGGTTAACAGACATTGTTTAAATTGTTTAATATAAAATGTGAGATGATCAAACATAATCAACAAATAAATAAGACACCGAGCTTTATTTAACATAAACACTGAATAATGGAATTCAGCTCACAGTAATCACGCCATGCGAGCGATAAATCATATAAGGCACACTTGAACAAAATCCATCGTGTAATGTTGTGTTGGGTTTTGAATAACTTCTACAAAAAGGTAATGCAAAAAAGAACCGTACATAGCTTGTATAGAACATGAAGAAATGTAGTTTACATACTGGTTTATGACGTTAACATTTTAATATTCCAAAACGCTACGATATATGGCTTGTGCATAAATAAATACTGTCAAAATATTCAAATAAATGCACCGAAATAATTGTTCTATGCTGTAGATTTATACCAAATTTCAATGCTTTTTTTTTGCAAATAAAGTTACAGGCAAGTGTTAAAAACATGTATAAACCGTAGTAATATTACGTCCGTTTGATTATTACGCGACACCGGATCAACCATATTCATTAACTAAAAAAAGAAAAGCACTTGGGAATGTGAAATTGTTAATATCCCGAACACTTTATCAATCCATTGTCGTCTATTATCATTGCGTTACATAACAAAAGTGGCCCGTTTTAAGAAATGTCATTAAAAATTTCACTGAGGTTTAGAAACCTTACATTTTTTATGCCCCGCTAAAGAGAGGCATATTAGAAAACGCACCGTCTGACTTTCTGTCTGTACGTCTGTCTGTCTGTGTGTCCGTCCGTCTGTGCGTCCCCACTTCATTCGTGTCCGCACTGTAACTTTGTCATACATTTAGATATTTTGAAATAAATTGGCATAAATGTCTACCACATCAAGACAAAATGTCGCTTTTAAGAACCATGTCCCTACCACAAAGGTCAAAGTCACACTAACGTTTTAAAGTTTCAGATTATTACAATTATAGTAAATAGGTACACATATTCGTAATCGGACTGTCACTGTGTCATGCATAAAATGATTTTCAAATAACTAGACATAAATGTTTACCACATCAAGACAATGTGTCGCATCAAATAATTACGTCCCTATCTCAAAGGTCAAGGTCACACTAACATTTCACGTTATCACAATTAGAATTAATAGGTACACACAATGGTGTCCAGTCTGTAAATTGAATGCATTGAAGGATTTAAAAATAACTTGGCATAAATGTCTACCACCTCAAAACAATGTGATGTGCAACGTCCAATATTCACGTCCCAACCTAAAAGGTTAAGGTCACACTATCATTTGGAAGTTTTACTTTTACACAATAAGAGTTTATAGGTGCACACATTTGTGTCTGGACAGTAACTTTTTCATGCATCAAAGGATTTTAAAATAACTTGGCATCAATGTTTTCCACATAAAGACGATATGTTGCGTCCTGAACTCAAAAGTCAAGATCACTCTTCTATTATGAAGTTCATTTTATCACAATAAGAGTTTATAGGTGTCCGGACTGTAACTTTGTCATGCATCGAAGAATTCTAAAATTACTATGCTTAAATGTCAACCACAACAAGACGACACGTCTGTTTCTACCTTCAAGGTTAATGTGATACTTATAGATTGAAGGTACTCATTCTGTCGAGAAACGTTTGAAGATACACATTCATGTCCGGACTGTAACTTTGTTACGCATGGAATGATTTTTAAATAACTTGGCACACATTTCTACTATGTCAAGACGATGTGTTGCAGCGTAGGCTCATATCCGCTTGTCCGTCTGTGTGTCCTCACTTGCACAACACTCATATCCAGACTTTATCTTTGTCATGTATTGATGGATTTTCAAAAAACTTTGGCACAAATGTCTATCTCATGACAACATTTTGTGGCGTCCAAACACTTTGTCCTTCTTGAAAGGTCAAGGTCACACTTATATTTTAATGGTTCACGCGATCACAATTAGAGATAACAGGTACAATAATGCATAGAACAATATTAAGCGATTATTCCGTTGTAAACCTTATTGTATGCCGATATTTTTTATCCAAACAACTGAATTGGGGTTTGTTAAGATTTCAATATATTTGGGAAGATTTTGATAGTGTTATTATGCAAATACTCATTTTGTCTGAAACTTCATGAATATCTATGATTATGTGAGAACCATTTCCAACAACAAATCTCAGATGAGCAGTCTAGGGCCAACATGGCCCTCTATTGATAGTGGCGATGTCTTTATTTTAAGACAAAGTTCATGGTCCCTAAACTGGGGACAGCTTTCAGGGCAAACAAGTAAATGTTGGTTTTCTTAGGAAGTTGTAGTTAAAAGTATTTCTTTTTTTTTAGAAAACAAGATGGCACATGAGCTACATTTAAAGAACAACAAATACCGGCAGTGGGTTAAGGCAGGCCTAGGTTTGGGTTATCTTAAAGAGGGACTTGCACCATTTTGTGATGACATAGGAAGACAGCAGCACAAAGATATCATAAACGTAATACAACAAACAAAGGCTCCTCAACCAAATGTACCATGTGGCGTCTGTCAGATAACAACTCTCCAGCCAGACCATGTCCGAGTATCAAAAGGGATATGTCCCCTCAGACAAGATAAATGTAACTGTTGCTTTCCAAATAATAAGAACCAATGTCCGAACAACGTATGTGGTGCCATCTATGACAGCATTATACAGAGTCATGCATCACAACCACCAGCACCGTTTTGGAAAAACAGTGATGCACAACAGTGGTCAACAGACCCATGGAGCGTATGCAAATGTTTTATAAATGCTCCTGGGTACAAGGACAAGACATCAGCAGTCGACACTGATTGTACAGGATTGCTTCATGTTATCATAAATAACACATATTTTCATAGTCATATTGCATGCAATGTTACAGGACCAAGCAATCTTTTTTCAAAGGTAACTCCATCTGTATTCTATATGTTGTTTTTAATTGTGTAGAACACTAAGCTTTACTGTAATATTTAGTCTGTTAATTGAGTATAAAAGTAAAAGAGAATATTGTAACCTGCATGAAATTATTGGTCAACTCTTATTGAATTTTTAAAGGAGTTAACCCAATGTTCAGAAGTAAGTTATTTGTGCTTTAAAAGCAAATGCACCACGTAAATACCATTACTTTAGTAAAATAATTATTAAAATTATCAAAAGCCATTTGTATTCCCTTTGTTTATATAATCTGCGGTTTAAACACAACAATAATAACTTAAAGGATTATTATGTTAAGTATTTTAAAGTAACTCCTTTAACAAATTAATTCTCAACATAAGAATTGTGTTGTTCTCAATGTTTAACACTGTATTTCTGTGAATGTTGTATTATTTGTTTTCTGTATATTAGGTACGTCAGTATCGAAATGAAATTTTTCACTCAAGCAGTATGGAATTAGAGGAGAGTAAGGCTAATTCATACATCGAAGACATGATAGTTGTTCTAAAAGACGGTAAAAAGCTTGTTCATCGACAAGATGCACAACAAGCTGTTAGGAAACTTCAAGATGTAAGTGTACATAAAAAATTATAAGTTTGAAATATCTAAGTTGTAATTATTCAAAATAAGCTCACTTCTAACTTCAGGTAAATGTTATGATAATAGAAACCAGTGCTTACATTGGTTTTAATATATTAATCAAATATAAATAAAAACTGCCTTTGATAAACTTATATTAATTATTTTCTTTATTGCTGAAGTCAATTAAAACTACCTACAAAATGTAAATATGTAAAATGCATATCTTAGTTTGTAAGTATTAGGTTAAAGAGGAGAAACAAATAAAAATAGAAAAAAAAGACCGTCAATCCTTCATTACAAGTGGATTTTAGAACTCGTAACATAAAGTATGAGAGTAAAAATTAAAGAAAAAATGAGATGTTTTTGACAAAATAACTTTGACCTTATATGCATGTATAAAATGTTGTAAATATTATTAATCACATAGCAGCTATATTTGAAAATTGTTTAGCTGAAGAAAAAGGAATTCATTATCACTACTGAAGACTTTGAAGAAATCCTGACACAAATCAAAGAAGAAATGAGAACAGAAAATGCTACAACTAAAGCGGAGTATATGGAGCTCAAAAATAAATTAACTGAACTTAAAGCACAGATGTTGGAAGCTCAGAAAGAACGTACAGAATTGAAAAGAAAATTTACTGTTCTTGAAACAGAGCAAAAAGAGGTAGAATGTATTTCTATTGTTTGTTTCCGTTTTATATACCGGTCCATGCATCAATATTTGTTTCTGGTTGATATACCTGTACATGTATTACTGTTCATCCGGTTGAGATGTTTTTTCTGTTCGATATACGGGTACCTGTAATACTGTTTGTTTCGTTTGATTTAGAGGTACATATATTGCTGTGTGTTTCCGGTTGATATACCGGTACATGTATCACTGTTTATCCGGTAGAGATATCAGTACATGACTTACTGTTTGTTCCGGTTGATATCCTGATCCATGTATTACTGTTTATCCTGTTGAGATACCTGTGCATGTTTAACTGTTTGTTCCGTTTGATATATCGGTACCTATATTCATGTTGTTTCGTTTAATATACCGGTACATGTATTACTGTGTGTTTCCTGTTGATTAACAGGTACATGTATTAATGTTTATCCGGTTGAGATACCAGTACATGTTTTGCTGTTTGTTACGTTTGATAAACCGGTACATGTATTACTGTTTGTTCCCTTTGATATACTTGTACATGTGTAACTGTGTGTTTCCGGTTAATAAACTGGTACATGTATAAATGTTTGTTTCTGGTTGATATACCGGTTCTGTTTGTAGTTTATAAACCAGTACATGTATAACTGTTTGTTTCTGGTTGATATACCGGTATATGTATAACTGTTTGTTGATGTCTGATATACCGGTATATGTATTACTGTGTGTTTCCGATTGATATACGGGTTAATGTATTACTGTGTGTTTCCGTTTGATATACGGTAATGTAAAATTTCTTGTTTTTGGTTGATATACAGGTACACTTATTATTGTTGATTGCTGCCTGGTATATAGGTACATGTATTACTGTGTGTTTCTGGTTGAAATTCAGGTACATGTAAAACTGTTTGTCTCTGGTTTATATACCAGTACATGCAATACTGTTTGTTCTCGGTTGATAAACCAGTACATGTATAACTATTTTTTCCGGTTGATATATCGGTATATCTATTACTGTTGACTTCGTCTGATTTGATTTCGTTTTCTAATCTTCTTATGCTGACAACTTTAGTTGCTATGGCAACAAATAGACTGAAAATATGGCTTATTTATCACATAAACTAGATCCAGTTTTAACACAACAAATACTGAATATATTTTTATAAAACTTGATATATTGATAGATGGCAGTCTGGAGATTGTAATTTTTTTTTACTCCTGGGTTAAACAATTTGGTTGCTTTGGCAACAAATAGCTTTAAAATACGGCAAATATACACATAAATTGGATCCAGTGATAACACAAAAGTACTGAAAATGTTTTTATGAAACTTAAAATATAGGTAGATGGCAGTCTGGAAATTATGCACGTCTTTTTCTTTTCTGTCTACATGGTTCTTTTTTTAAATATTTTTGCTATGGCGACATATAGTTTGAAATTTGGCAAATATAACAATATTTGTTATTACTCAAAATGCAGGGAAAACATTTTTATGAAACTTAAAATATGGAAAAATGGCTGTATGGAGATTATACACATCATTTTTATCTTTACTATAGGCAGTATATTGAACTGTCCTTCTCACCAAGCATCGGTGACCTCGTCAAGGATACTGATTCAAGTTTTTACGCTTTTTTACAATAAGTTATTTATTTCTTAAGATATTGACTTCAAACTTCAATTTTATGTTTCTGATCGTTTACACTTCAAATGTGACAAGGTTTTCAACTATATAACACAAATTATTAGAATTATCCCCCTTGAACTTAGAATTTCCTTTTAAAAATGATCTTTTTTATAACGTCCGTATTTCCTTATGGATAAACCTCATATATTTTTGTCTTATTATCACTCAAATTTGCGAGAAGGTTCAATACTCTAGTTTGACTATATCCAGAATTATGTCCCCCTTGAACTTTTTCTGGAATCTGTTATATTTTACACAAACTTCTTCATTGCTTATAGCATGTACTTCAAACTCCAACATCATAATGTCAGTTTTCTGTCTGTCCGTTCCTAAAAATCTGTGTCCCAAGATCAAATTTTAAGAGTTTTTCCTAAAAATCTACTCAAATTAGAGAAAAGTCGAAAAATTAGTTATAAATATTCATCCTGAGAAAATTGGATCTTCTTATTATCTCTTGTAAAAAACACAATTTCATTACTAGGCAGGAAAACTTAAAACGTTTAATTAACTAGAATACAGACAAACTAAGAACTCAAATTTTTCATAGTTAAGTTCATTCATGCCGGTCATTCAATGACATAATTCAATGGCTAATTGCCCTTCTGAATGTTGCTGCGGTTTTAACCGGTAGGGAACTTATGTATTGCTTGTAATACTATGATAATTGCTTATTTATTGTCGGGACAAATATAGATATTGAGGACGTATTGTCTGCCGCAATAACAAATGAAACAATTATAATATTTCAACGACAGTACACCTGTGATATATTTTCTTCAACTTTAATTGATTTTTTATTGTCTACAAAGTATGGTTATCTCAACGCAAGAATACACACATAATTATGACATGTTTTAAGTTGATTGTCCTAGCATTTTAAAAACAACTAAAATATTTTATACGAATATACGGATCTGAAAATTAAATTCGGACACCAAATCGTGATTTGAACATTCGGATATTCTGACGCCGGATGACATCCCTAGTTTTTAGACTTGCTATTTTTCAAGTAAATTTTGAATGTAAGAAAATGGTGGCTTAGTTTAGAGACAGGCTTGTTTTCGAGACAGCTTAGTATTTCAATCTCAGGATTTTTAGGGCAGTATTATACTGTCTAATAATATACTAGATGGCGATAAAGACTGTAATGATGAAAACTTACTCCTTTCAACTACAGTACGCTCAGCGCGGCTTTTGCAAAACCCGCGTGACCCCGCGGATGAGGTTTACCGCGGACGAAAATTGCTCAGATATTGTCCGCGTGACAGAAAATTTTCACCACCGCGGACATAAATCGGCGACTGAAGCCGTTTCCCCCGCGGAAAGCAGCGGTAAATTGCGGAGGAACGCGGCGGTCAAATACCGGTCAACGTGGTGGAAACCTTAAATTTTTAAAAATTAATTACTGTATTTAAACATCAGTAAAGGTACGTACTGTAACATGTACTGTACATATAACTATATGTAAAATTTGTTTGTTTGTATTCTTTTTTGTTGTAATAAAAGTACATGTACAAATGCAGTGTATTTCTTGTTCTTCTTCTTGTTATTGTGTTGGGTAATGTATAATATGTATTCGACATCAAGATAAATCATTGTCGTCGCAACTTCATGGTAGTGAGAAACTTGAAGTCAAATAATGAAAAAATCGGCATATGACATTTATGAAAGAGATACTACAACAATTTATGTGCCAGCTTTTGTTTCTTATTTAAAAAACTTTGAAAACGTAACCCTCAACAATTTATTCAGGCAATATTCCAGGACGTCTCTTTCAATTGTCAGATGCGTTTTACTGTTTCTGTTTAATTGCATGTTGATCATAAAGTCTTTATTTTATTTGGAACATTAAAAGAAAGCGTTTATTTCACCAAAATATACATTAAATGATATTCTTGGTTTATCTAATTACAGGTGTGAGAGTAATGTATATGTTTTGAAGTTTGTATCAACTGTTGAAGTTTATTTTCATTTTTGTTTTAGAAGTTTGTTTGTTTGTTCTTTTTTATTTTTTTATAGATTTCTTTTTGCAGAATTTTGTTAAGCTTGACGTTATACTTTTTGTTATTTTATTATGAACAGTATGCATGTACATACATGTATATAAGGCAAACAAGCACATGGCAGTTATTTTCTAAGAACTTCCATCGACCGATTTTCAAGTTAAAAATATTTAATTTTATTGTTAACTTAAGATATTATTGTTCATAGGAATAATAGTATTTGTAGACAACATGTAGTTTTAAGTACATACAATTGAACGTAATTGTCTTTGCTTTCTTGTATTTATTATATTACGTTTTCATTGAAATTAATTCCGAGGATAATAATGTAATTTTATAATTTGTAAAAGGCAGCCTAATTATTATTGTTTTAATGGGTTTCAAATTCTGTTCAAAAAATTTAACGTATAATAACATTTAAGGAGACGATTGTGGTCAATTTTCAAGTCATTGTGTAAAAAAGATGACGTTAAAAAATAATAAAACGTCTATTATTTTTTGGAGGTTAATTTATACTGACCAACTGACTATGGCGTTCCCCCGCGGGAAACGGGTGACTGATTTAATCGACGAATGAAGAACGATCGTCAGAATTTTGTCCGCGGTGGAAACAACTGAACACCGGGGATCGCGGGGGGGGGAATTAGGCTTTCATCGCGGACGAACCCCCGCGTTTGTCCGCGATAAAAAAAAATCGTCCGCGGTGGTATCGCGGAAAAAGCAAAACCCGCGGTGAGCGTACTGTATGATTAAATTGTTGAAAAATCGCACACGCGATGAATTTTAATATTCCTAGACAATAATTTTGCTGAATAATAATGTATTATTATAACATACAAGAAATTATTAAAATAATACGACTCAGAACAGAATTGTCATTATATAAAAGTAAATAGAACGCATATCCGATTTTGAACGTGATCGTTCAACTGTTTACAAACTTTTACATAAGAATATGGATTTTTCTGTTAACAATGTACAATGCTCATATTGTGGTAAAAAAAAATTATCAAAATCTAAGAAATTCTTCCTGAATATGTCTATTATTTGAGTAAGTGAATTTATTATAAACTATGTTTAAGAAGCTGCATTCTCAAATACTTGTCAAATTATTTGGTCTAATTCTCATTAAAACTGTCCGTTTCTATGACACTGTAATACACTGTGATTACCTGTAGTGTGTTCAGTTGAAAATGTTACATAATTTCTCTGTGTGTATTCAGCACATGAATATAGACCCTTTCATTTAAGCGAGGAAGGGTAACTCTCCTTACCGGATGTTACGTAAATGGGGGATTATTTTATAAAGACCAGTACGAAAGTTAGCTAATCGAAAGTTAAATGTGTTAAATTATGAATATAACATAAAAAAGTTACCTATGCAAGCTCAAGACAATAAGAAACAACTGTCTCAGATTTATTCTTGCGATAGAGGAATTTACCAATAAAGAAATATGAAAATTAGCGGAAATATTCAAAGTGAATATTGAATGATTTACTCTTTTGCCTGGTCAAAAAGCTAGGAACTTAATAGAATTTTATTGTTTTATATAAAACATAAATACACAAACTGAAGTTACTGGATTTAAGACTAAACGATCATTTTTCTAATTTTCTGTGTGATTTTCTTTTATTTAAAAAAACCAGCGTTTATGTGACAAACATGAAAATAAAATTGCCCATGTATTTTGAATGATATTTTTCTCTCAAGTTTTGCGTCATTTCTTAGCAGATTGAGCTCTGACGAGTCTGTGCTATATAGTAATTTATTCTTTTTTCGTTACGCCATAAAACAATCTTACAAAGAACCTGTGATTGATATTATATATTAACGTTCCTGAATTTCATAACATAACTTTAGATTCGCAAGAGACAATAATACAAATCAATTTTTATATTATTAAAGTCAAATAACTTTTCCTCGTACATAAATTTTCACAATTTTAATTGAAAATGAATATGGTTAACCTTTATGTCGCATTGAATTTCAAAACATTTATGGTATATAAAATTGACTCAGAGAGATTCTACAGATTATTTGATAATAATTATATGTAAATTCATTAATTGTAATCAATACTGTCACGGACCTTTCTTTATAAAAAAACAACATAGACTTGTAACAGCGCAGCGGCCAGTTACAAAATAAACCAACAGGGTATGTGTGTTGTATATTCAAGTTGCACTTGGCTGTTTTATCATCAATCACCAGGGTACATATGTAACATTACATCTGCAGCTACATGGCTTAAGTGTTACATATTTAGTACAAGCATTGCCTGAGTTATGAAAATTATAATCATGGGTCAAATAGAACCATGTCCCAGGGTCATGTTTATGACTTTGACTTAAATAGAAAAGTGACTTGACTGAGGACCTAATAATCATGCATTCTTGTGGTTTACTCAACTGAGCATAAATTACATAGAGGTGAGCGTTTGTGATGACATTCTGTCTTGTGGCTTTTATCTATGGTCTGTTAATCAACTTTTCTAAAGGAATATTTTGACCAAACTTAACAGATATGATTAATTGGTTATTTTTATACTGTGACCTAATTACCTTAATGATGACTTTTCTAGCTATTGATCCCAGGTGAATGATCAAATAACATAGAGTTCCCTTGTGTAAATTATTGCTAATAAAGCTCCAATGCAAATTTTGAACACTTTCTCGTTTGAAATGCAGCAACTAAAGACCATTGCAAATAAGATATTTAAAATAAAAAAGAGGTGTATCACTGGGGAAAAGGTAGCATAAATCATTATGTACTATAGACTGTTTGAATATTGTTTTTTTTTATTGTCCATCAATTTCAATATCTTGTAGAAACATTCAATACCTTTAGTAAAATTATGTATGATCGCACCAAAAATGTCAAAAATAAGATTTGATTTTTGATGGCGGAAATTTGATCTGATGTTTTTGAGAAACATTTGGACATGTTAAACAAACTGACTGAAAATACCAATATTAATTTATACAATTTACATTTTCAGAAAATAACTGAATAACACAATTATTTATTTTATTTTATATTTCTTTTCATTTTTAGGAGGCAAAAAGAGTCAAAGAAGAAGGTGTTCAACAAAAAAAGTTAGAATATGAAAAGGCTAAATCAGGTATGTTAATTTATAGAATATGAAAAAGGCCAAATCAGGTAGATTTCTATGTTATATAGAATATGAAAGGCAAAATCTAATAATTATATTAATAATATATAAACTATGAAACAAAAATTAGATATGTTATATATAATATGAAAAGGCTAAAACAGGTATGTTATATAGAATATTTGAAGGTTAAATCAGGTATGTTATATAACATTTGAAGAAAAGGCTAAATCAGGTATAAAAAGGATAAATCATGTTTGCTATTATAGAATATGTAATCGTTAAATAAAATTTGAAAAAGGCTAAACCAGGTATATTATTTAGAATATGTATAGGTTGAATCAGATATGTTATATAGAATATGAAATGGATAATTCAGGTATGTTATATATAATATGTAATGGTAAAATCAGATATATTATATAAAATTTGAAAAAAGGCTTAATAAGGTAAAACAGGTTTGTTATATATAATTTGCAAATGTTAAATCAAGAATGGCATATAAAATTTGTAGAAGTCTTAAACAGGTATGTTATATAGAATATATAAATGCTATATCAGGTTTGTTATATAAAATATGAAAATGGCTAAAGCAGGTATGCTATTTAATATATTTAATGCTTAAATCAGGTATATTATATAATATGACGAAGGCTAAATCAGGTATTTTATATATAATATGTAAAGGTTAAATCAGGTATGTAATATAAAAATTGAAGAAGGCTAAACCAGGAATGTTATATAGAATATGTAAAGGCTATATCAGGTGAGTTATATAAAATATAAAAAAAGCTAAACCAGGAATGTTATATAGTATATTTAATGGTTAAATCAGGTATGTTATATATAATATGACAAAGGCTAAATCAAATATGTTATATAAAATATGAAAAAGGTTAAATCAGGTATATTATACAGAATATAAGAGGCTTAATCAGGTATGTTATAACATATATGAAAAGAGTATAACAGGTATGTTTAATAGACTGAAAAGTCCAAATCAGGCATGTACTACAGAACATAAAAAGGCTTAAACAGGTATGCTTCATAGAATAACAAAAGGCTAAAAAATGTGGATTATATAGAATAAGAAAAAGGAAAGACTAACACAGTTATCTAATTCAACATGTGTTGAATAATTATGCTATTTATTTGAGATTTGACTTAAAAGTGTACTAAAGAATATCCATGATGAAACAAATGTTTTGATTAATTCGATAATACCTGGCCCTGGATCACTTAGAGAAGATCACGATCAAGTGATCAAGTGATCCTGATTTTATTTTCATTGTTTAATGTTACTAAAATTAATTGTGTTTTGTTGAATTAAATTGTAAATATTCAAAATGTAAAAAGCTGCTGATTTGCATAAAAAACAAACTCTTTTGGGATAGAATCAACAAATGAAAAAACAAACACAAAAATATTCGGATCAAAATAAGGATCAATTTTAGGATCAGGATCATTATTTGGATCAACTGTAAAATGCCCGTATCTTGCAAAAAAAAAATTGAATTTTGCCCTCATTGCGATAATTTTATCATGTACTGTTGCATTTAATGTATACCTTTTACAAAACAACTATTACAACAACATCATCATTTCAATGTCAAGAGAGCTCTCTAGCTTGTCTGTATTTGACAAATTCCTTGTTGTGATTATTTAGATTATTTGCAAATATTGGCTGTTCAATAAATTTCAGGTTGTCGTACTCAATTAATAGAACATTATCGCAGTGATGTACTTAAAGTATCAGCAATACCTTTACAGCCTGAAGAGGAAATATGTAATTTCAGTGACGTTTATATAAGACCCACTATAACAAGCATGATTGAAATGAGCAGAGGGCAGTCTTTGCAAAAAGAAATACAGTTCATGTCAGAGATTTTCTCAAAGAACGGGGATCCACAGAAATTTGTTTATGTTGTTGGAGATGCAGGGTCTGGTAAGAGTAGTTTTTGTAAATATTTGATCAATTGTTGGTGTATGGCACACAGTGATGGACTTAATGAAGGTGATGAATTTGAAGGAGTCAAGGAAATGAAGAAATTCGATTTTATGTTTTATATTTCTCTTAGACATAACGTAAAGAATCGAAGTATCCAAGAAATGCTTGAAACGCGATATGATAAGATAAAAATTTTAAGCAATCTTCTGAAAAATGATTCTGAAAAGATAATTATTTTGCTTGATGGTTTAGATGAGTGGTCTTTTGCCAGTGAGACTAGGAATGAGTTCCAGGGAGGCCTTCCTGAACGTGACTTTACAAAGAAATACACCATTGTTACTACATCACGGCCATGGAAAATTCACAGTTTGAGAGTAAGTAATAGAGAGATTCATCAATTATTGAAATTAAAAGGGTTTGATGAAACACATGAACAAGAAATGATTAAAAAAACAATAACAGCATTGAACGAATCATTAGATCCTAGTGAGTGTGAACAAAAGCTTAAGGTACAATCTCTTGTTGGCCTGAAACAGGTACCGATAATGCTGCAGCAATTGGTTTGTCTATGGTGTGATGGTAAACTAGATAAAACCTCAAGGTGTGCTACTTATACTGGTATGTTAGAACTTTATTTCACCTGGAATATCAATAAAACTTTAGGAAATAATACAGAATGTATGGAAAGTTCTCAGAATATTGAACTCCCTCAGTATTTAACAGATGTAGAGATTTGCAGATTAAATGGCCATCTTATATATGGCGTGTCGCACCTGGCTTATGAGACATTGTTCAATTATCCGAAGGATAAGTCCTTAACATTTGACAAATCTGTGTTTGATGATTTGAAAATATCACAAAAAGTGCGAGAAACATGTCTGAAACTGGGAATTTTAACAGAAGATAAATGTCCTTCTTTATCTGTATCTAAACCGAAATGCTCATCTATCTCTTTCATTCACAAATCAATGCAAGAATTTCTGGCTGCAGCGTATATTGGTATCACATTCAATGCAACAAATGGTTTGTCAGATAGTACAGGAAATGTTGAATTTGCTAAAAAGTTTATGAATGAGGTTTTTCAGAAATGTTCAACACTAAATGACCTATTAGAACAGTCAAATGTCATCATTATGCTATGTGGTCTAGAGCCTAGATTAGCAACACATGTTTCAAAGTACATATATGATACTGTGTCAGAAGACTCTGGTGTTCAGGAATCCAGAAAAACAGTATGGCGTGAAGAACCATGTTTTATTGATTCTGATCAAAAGTTTATGTTTGAGTCAATGGAAGAATTAAATGCATCATGTAGTATAGGAAGTAATACTGTATTTTATATAGGAGATTTGGTCATTGATAGTCGTCAGTATTGTGATATTGTTTGTTCAGGTATTGATCAGAAACAAATTGTTCCCGACTCTGTTTTGTCTATTACGGTAGAAGATTTGAACTCACACAATTTTAGATTTACAAAATATTTACCAATGTTTCATCACCTTGAAAGAATTACAATATATTATGGATATGAATCACAAAGCTTTAGTACACAAAGTCGTAGTACAAAGAGTAATGAACAGATGATTGGTGAGATAAATCAATGTGTTTGTGAGACAATTAAAGTAAACACGTTAACATTAAAATCTCTGAGTCTTGATTTCCATCCCACTAAAAAGCCGTATTACCCAGTGTTTAAAACAGTTTTTAGTAACTTACCTAGTATGATCAATCTTGTAGCAATAAGAATGAGAAGTATAACAATGAGTCATTATGCTACTACTAAATTTTGTAATTTTCTTGAGAGAACCAGCCATCTTAAACAAATATATTTTACTGATGTTAAATGTAAGTGTAAGAAGCAGCATGATGTAAATTTATCAAAATTTCAACAACTTCAGCTCCTTTATTTGTATGATGCTGTTAGTGTGATAGATGCTGATACTACAAATCTTGAAAAATTTGTATTTATGGATTTGAAAGATAGCAATTATGAGAAAATATTAAATATTATTACAAAAGCTTACACATTAAAAGAACTTGAATTGTTTAGAAATTATAACAATATATCTCCTTTAAATCATACCAACATAACAAAGAGACTAGTCAGAGCATTACCATTGTTACACAATCTCAGTAAGCTTAGATTAGATCAATGTACTTTAACTGACAATATAATACAGTTACCTTTAGAGATGAAGAGTTTAAAGTACATTTTGCTTTTTATTGTCACAATGAGTTTGACAACATGGCAGAAGTTTGTTGATAGTCTTCCTGGTATTCCTCATACTGTAGATGTGCGTGTACAGCCGTATTTTATTACAGCACATGGTGAGGAGTTTAATGCATTGTCATATGACGGATTTAGAGGAGGGAAGGGAAATTATGCTAAACAATATGTCAAGGATAAATATCAATTATTTCATGTTAGACTTGATGATGATCATTGTTGTTACTTTTCAACAAAAAAATGAAAAAAGGTATTATAGCATAGTATTTAATCTAAATTATTTTATGTTAAAAGGTACACTAATTGTTTTTATATTTCCATCAAAAATGTGATACTTATGACAAGAAATTATTAAGAAGTTAGAGAATAATTATTTCATGACTGTAAAAATAGATATAAATCATCCGAAATATTCAAAGTGTTAATAATGATTTCTGGTCATTTCAACATTTTTTGAGTATTTAAATATTAAAATTGAAGAAAGTAATATTAAGATTTTGTTTACAAATAATGAAAAACATGCATTGAAATATAATAGATATGTTGATCTTAATTAAGGTAAAGGTTTTTGTTAAAGATCATGGATAGTTTGTTAGAAAATAATGATATGAAAATGTAATGTTCTAATAATATTGCATGAAAACTGTCTAGATAAAAATGTTAATAAATTAAGGGGTAAATTTCAAAAAAAATATCATAAGACAGATGTTTAATGTACTAGGTCAGAAGAAGTAAAATATTAAATGTAACATGCAAATACCAGTTATTTAAAATATATATATGGCAAAGGAATGGTATAAATAGATACAAGTTATATGATATATAGTATGAGGAAATGATATATATGATTTCCAGTTATTTGATTAATAGGACAAGCAAACGGTATATTAAGTAAATACCTGTAATATGACATATACATGTAGGACAATGGAATGATATGAATAATGATAAGTTATATGATATATAGTACAAGGGAATAGTATTGATGAATACCAGTTATATGATGAATGGGACTAGGGCAGGGGAGTTTTTTATATAAATATATGATAATATAGGACAAGTGAATGTTATATATAAGTACCAGTTATATGATGAATAGGACAAAGGAATAGTATAAATTAATAGCAAATATATGATATATAGGACATGGGAATGGTATATATTTATACCAGTTATATGATATATAGGACAAGGGAATGTTTTATATAAATACCAGGTATATGTTTAATAGGACAAGTGAATGATATATATATACAATGTATATATATATTTATGAATACAAGTTATGTGATATATAGGACAAGTGCATGTTTGAAATAAATACCAGTTATATAATATATTGGACAAGGGAATGTTATATGTGAATACTAGTTATAAGATATATAGGACAAGTGAATGCTATATATGAAAATTTCAAATATATGATATATAGAACAATGGGAAATGTATATATTATTAACAGAAATATGATTTATAGAGTTATTTGATATATAGAACAAGTTATTTGTACATATGAATTTGCATATATATGTTTTCATTAAGACAGGTACCATAACTTGTTATGCCCCTTTAAAGAAAATGTGCCAAGTTTGATTAGAATTGAAGCAGTTTTTATAGTTTTATAGCAATTTGAACTAGTAAGGGGAGACTTTTCAATGAAAACAGACATTTTTCCAAATATGCTAATGAAGTAATGGGTTAAGCTCAACTATTCAACGAATATCGAGAGCTAAGTACTAACGCATTGGCGTGACATTTAAGTTATGTTGTTGCTTTTGCATGCAAGTTGGTTTCTCAAAAAAATACTGAAGGAGGAAACGAGTTGAAAAACATATACATGTATAGCAGTTCTGGGCTGTACCTCAGAGATTACAAAAAGTTAATCATTTATCGGTTACACCTCAGGAATATATACCATTTTGTGGCTGTCCCTCACAAAACTTCTCGGCTTCCCCTTGGGGAAATATACCAGTTCGCGTCTGCCCCTTGGGGGAAATATACCAGTATTGGGCTGCCCTTTTAGGAAATATTCCAGTTATCAGGGGTTTCTAGGGAAAAAACATGTGTACCAGCTCTTGGCTGCACCTCAGAGATATACATGTAAATCATTTATCGGCTACACTTCAGGAAATTATACAAGTTTGTGGCTGCCCGTAAGGTATATATACCAGTTCTCGGCTGCCCCTAAGGTATATATACAAGTTCCCGGCTGCCCCTTTGGGAAATATGCCAGTTCTCAGTGACCTTACGGGGATATATACCAGTTCTCGGCTGAAATATGTTCCAGTAAATGACTTCCTTTGGGGGATATACCATTTCCCTTGATGTCAATTTCCTCTTGCACAACAACAGCTATATGTTATAAATTTATTTATTACCATGGTTATGTAATGTTTACACTAAATTTTAAAGTGTTAATAAGTATCTGTAAGTCTATTATTACTCAGCTGAGCAATTTAGATATGTTTCTTGCATGTAAACATATGTTACACATATCTGTTTGTTACATGTAATTATGACTGCATGTATCTAGTACATATGTAAACATATAGTTACATGTTAAAATTGTTTATTGTATAATAACAAGCTTTTGCAATATTTTTATGAAAATAAAATTATATTCTTAAATAACAAGTAATGTTATGTGGCATGTAACCATACATACATTTAAAACAGTTATAAAGACCCATTAAGTCTTAAAACATGCAGTGACTTTTATCTTTTTAAACACTTTTATTTTTTTTTGTCCAAAAAGTTTCTAATTGGCCATAATATCTGAACCATCTTTAGTTCCTTTTGCATTTTAGCAAGTAATACCGTAATGAAGAATAAGTATTTTATATGGAAATCAAATAACCATTTTGTTAATATTTTGCTATATTTATCGTATTTCTTTTCAAACTCCTTTTTTTGTCAGTTGTCAGTTAATAAGAATATCGTTTGTTGTAAATCTATTATTTCAACATTATACAACACTTATTTGCCCTTTTTAGAAAAATAAATATCTATTCATTTCTGAGGCGTAATGTGCCTTGTAACTGTAAATGTCTATATAGTATATAAGTAGACATAAGTATGGTAACATGAAAATTATGTTATGAATAAATGGTTACTAGATATATGAATGTTTATGTGTATTTTATGTTTAGATATGTTATGTCTTATGAACAAATGCATCAAACATGTGTGTTTGTGACTTAGAATTATAGATTAAAATTAGCAAGTACAATTGTAAACCTATGTACAGGATGACAAATCTATACTGTTCATATATATATTTTTACAATTCTATATGAAATTGATATAAGTTCTGGTCTGGAATATATTTTGTCAAATGTACATTTATTTTGAACATTACTGTTTAAAATTTAAAGGTGTTTATAATACTTGTTAGCATATATAAACACTTAGAGCAATTAACAGTCTTAAAAATTTTAAAACAATTATATTCACTTAATATTGAACTTTGTTTATTACAATTAGTGGATTTTGGAATTGGAAGTTAATAAATGACATCAAATATGTTTCATTACTTTGCCATAAGCAATTTGATTGTAACTAGAAATTTATATAGTTTTATTCACTACGAGTATTACATGAATTTAAACTTTGTTAAAATTTTATGATTTTAAAGAAGAATTGGAAGTTGATTTGTGGTTTCTTGATTTTGTTTTATATTTTATAAGCAATTGTATTAATTGATAAAGATATGGAAATATAACATATGAAAGGAATTTAAATATACACATGCAAACCTCTATTCAGACATTGATTGACTTAGATTTTGTAACATTTCCAACATTATGCATTTTTTTAAACTTGTAAACGTTTGAATTTTCTCAATTTATTTAGAAAAAAATTAGAAACAAACTAAAACGTAACATCGTAATGTTTAATATGCTTTACAATATTATGGATATAAATTGTTATTGATTAAGAACTATCGGAACGAAATACTTCAAATGGTGGCATATAATATTATATCAGTATAGAGAAATGTTAACAATATATAACCTTTAGATCTTTTCATAGAAACTTTAAAGAGAAACTTGTTTTGTTTTTTTTGTTTTTTTTTTCTACTGATTATGTTATAATTGTAATACAATGTACTTTTAAATTAGTAAAATGTATTTGTTTGCTTGTTTTGAAAGCATGAGTGTGTGACTGTTCATAATAAAAAAATTGTACAGAATTGATCTTTTAATTATATATTTGTTTTCCCCAGTCTTACAGAACTAAATAAGGGCATAAAATCTGTTGAAAATTTACTTCCCAATCTCATCTCATTAACCAAGACAAATCTCTTAGTACATTTATAGCGCCAAGCATAACTCTATGTACAATATATTTACAGTACTAAGAATGAGGCCCTGTCTCGTAAAATAACGTGTGGGACAAAACACAATCATTAGGAATGGAACTGCAATTGGAACTATTTCCGCATTACATAGCATCAACCAGTCTGCATAATGCAAAGATATCGCCGCCTCCGTGGTCGAGGGGTTAGAGTCGATGATTTCTAATCCAATTTTCTCTCTGGCGTGGGTTCGATCCCCGGGAGATGCTTTGGTAGTTTAGCACGGAGGAAGGTAGTCTAGTTTTGGTGTAACTCTCCAGGAACGATGGTTAGGAAACTACCCGCCTATATGACTGAAATACTGTTGGAAAAAGGCGTACATTGAAACAAACAAACAAATATGACATATTTAAAGTGTTTAGAGTTACAAATACTATTTGAAGTTATATATGACGATACACATATTTTTTCAAATTGAAAATAAGTTGTTACTGCACGGGATATGATTCCAGTATCCTCCTAATTGTATATGAAATAAAGCTGTATCTATACCCCCGCACAACGAAGTTGTAAGGGGGGTATACTGGAATCACTTGACCGTCGGGACGTCTCCCCGTCCGTCCGTCGGTTATTCCTTGTCCACCCACTAACTTAAAATTCTTTGGCCCACAGTCTCCATATTTGGCATGGAGGTTAGTCATGAATAGTAGATGACCCGTATTGGTTTTGGGGTCACTGGGCCAAAGGTCAAGGTCACAGGGGCCTTGACTTTAAAAAAGTTGTCCGCCCAATAACTTGAGATTCCTTTGGCCCACAGTCTTCATATTTAGCATGGGGTTTAGTCATGATAAGTAGATAAACCCTATTGATTTTAGGTAACTGGGTCAAAGGTCAAGGTCACAGGGGCCTTGACTTTAAAAAGGTTGTCCGCCAAATAACTTGGGATTCCTTTGGCCCACAGTCTTCATATTTAGCATGGAGGTTAGTCATGATTAGTAGATAAACCCTATTGATTTTTAGGTCACTGGGTCAAAGGTCAAGGTCACAGGGGCCTTGACTAAAAAAACCTTGTCCGCACAATAACTTGAGATTCCTTTGGCCTAAAATCTTCATATTTGGCATGAAGGTTAGTCATGATAAGTAGATCCGTATTGATTTTGAGGTCACTGGATCAAAAGTCATGGTCACAGGGACCTTGACTAAAAAAACCTTGTCCACCCAATAACTTGATATTACTTTGGCCAACAGTCTTCATATTTGGCATGGAGGTTAGTCATGATAAGTAGATGACCCGTATTGATTTTGAAGTCACTGAATCAAAGGTTAAGGTCACAGGGGCCTTGACTAAAAAAACCTTGTCCGCCCAATAACTTGAGATTCCTTTGACCCACAGTCTTCATATTTGGTATAGAGATTAGTCATGATTAGTAGATGACCTCTATCTATTTTGGGGACACCGGGTCAGAGGTCAAGGTCACAGTCACAGGGGCCTTGACGAAAAAAACCTTGTCCGCCCAATAACTTGACATTCCTTTGGCCCACAGTCTTCATATTTGGCATCGAGGTTAGTCATGATTAGTAGATGATCCCTATTGATTTTGGGGTCAAAGGTCAAGGTCACAGGAGCCTTGACTTAAAAAAACTTGATTTTAAAATTTTCAAATTTGAAGCATTTATAATACATATCTTATCAATGCACTGGCTAAGTAACCTCAGATTTGGCAGGGTGGTTGTCCTTGAGTTCTAAATGGCCACTGTTGAATCTGACAAAGTGGTATGCGGGGGTATTCACGCCATGACAATGACAGTTCTAGTTTGTTCTTTGATCCGGGTGCGTTATATGCTAAATAGAGAAAACAGAATTCCTAGAGTAAGCCTCACCAGTCCAGGTAAATGTGCCCGTTTTCTTCTATTTATGATTCGATAAAAAAACTGGTAAAATAATCTGAACTCGGAAATAATAGTCACAACAAAGTAACATAAAAATAACATGGAAATTGCAGACATGGTTTGATTAGTCTGTATATAAGGGATAATGAAAAGGTGAAATGTCCCTCATGCCCCAAAGCTTCGGTTTAAGTGTTACTTAATTTTTAACACCTAAAAGTGTGGGAATCAAAGATCTCTAAGGACAAAAAAATAAGCAACACTGAAAAAGTAGGGGGAACATTTTACAGCTGCTGCATAGAACTTGACACCTGCTGTTGTGAAGTATTAAAGTGTGATCTTTTGGAAGCATTTATCACAACACATTTGAAATAATAAAAAAGTTCTACATCCCTCACGCCTTGAGCGGTACTAAACATGCCATTCAAGGGAGACTAATACTGTTTTTATATATCAATATACTTGTCAGGAGTGATTTCCCTTTTGTAATAATTTACAATGCAGTTTTCATAAATAGAATGAAGGGGGGGGGTTTAAAAAATAGACAAAATTATAAATTGTACATTCAGGCTCTTCGAAACCAACTTGTTATATCAATGAGGGAGACTGATCATACAGTTATTTGATCTTCTTTACAAGTGTAATTTATCTTTAAACATAATTAACATAAATCAGATAACTATACGGATTCAATAGATAGAGGGGTCATATTTTAAACATTCGGCGACTATAAAACAAGTTTTTTGTTTTCTTACAATTGAAATTTATCGTTAGATTACATAACTTGATGCTTTATTTAAGAATGGTACACTCATTAAAATGATACCTTCGCGCATCATTGTTAAACTTCATAAATGTGTATTTTTATAACTTAAATAGTTGCGCATTTAAAGACAACATGCAAACATTTAAAGACACTGTGGCGGATTTTTCTGTCCTAGAGATGCGTTATATATAAGAGAGAATATATGATTTACCACTTTGTTTGTGCGATTTCCAACTAGATCAATTCAATCGGATAAAGATAAAAATCTATCTAATTTATTATGGATAAATCTTATTTTTTATGGATAAATCAAATGGTTGTTTAGAAATAGCGCTAGAATAAAATCAGCGTCTAATAATTGAAGGGGATGTTAAGACAGATCAAATTAATGCATTGTTGAGTTCCCTACACGAATAACTGCAAATACACAAACACCGCCCGATCCAATCTCAATGACAAATGATATTCATGTTTTAACTCGTTTTTTATATGCCCGAAAGGGCATATTATGTTATACCCCCTGGCGTCCGTCTGTCTGTCCGTCCGTCCGTCCGTCCGTCTGTCCGTCCGTCCGTCCGTCTGTACGTCCGTCCGTCCGTTAGCAATTTGGTTTCCGGAGCATAACTTAAGTTCCATTTGGCTCACAATGTTAAAACTTCATAGGATGATTGTCCATATTGGGTAGAAGACCCCTATTGATTTTGGGGTCAAAAGGTCAAAGGTCAAGGTCACTATTACCTTAAAACTGAAAACGGTTTCCGGAGCATAACTTAAGTTCCATTCAACCCACAATGTTCAAACTTCATAGGATGATTGTCCATATTGGGAAGAAGACCCCTATTGATTTTGGGGTCACAAGGTCAAAGGTCAAGGTCACTATGACCTTGATACTGAAAACAGTTTCCGGAGCATAACTTAAGTTCCAATTGGCCCACAATGTTCAAACTTCATAGGATAATTGTCCATATTGGGTAGAAGACCCCTATTGATTTTGGGGTCAAAAGGTCAAAGGTCAAGGTCACTATTACTTTAAAACTGAAAACGGTTTCCGGAGCATAACTTAAGTTGCATTCGACCCAAAGTGTTTCAAACTTCATAGGATGATTGTCCATATTGGGAAGAAGACCCCTATTGATTTTGGGGTCACAAGGTCAAAGGTCAAGGTCACTATGACCTTGATACTGAAAACAGTTTCCGGAGCATAACTTAAGTTCCAATTGGCCCACAATGTTCAAACTTCATAGGATGATTGTCCATATTGGGTAGAAGACCCCTATTGATTTTGGGGTCAAAGGGTCAAAGGTCAAGGTCACTATTACCTTATAACTGAAAACAGTTTCCAAAGCATAACTTAAGTTCCATTCGACCCACAATGTTCAAACTTCATAGGATGATTGTCCATATTGGGAAGAAGACCCCTATTGATTTTGGGGTCACAAGGTCAAAGGTCAAAGTCACTATGACCTTGATACTGAAAACAGTTTCCGGAGCATAACTTAAGTTCCAATTGGCCCACAATGTTCAAACTACATAGGATGATTGTCCATATTGGGTAGAAGACCCCTATTGATTTTGGGGTCAAAAGGTCAAAGGTCAAGGTCACTATTACCTTATAACTGAAAACAGTTTCCAGAGCATAACTTAAGTTCCATTCGACCCACAATGTTCAAACTTCATAGGATGATTGTCCATATTGGGTAGAAGACCCCTATTGATTTTGGGGTCACAAGGTCAAAGGTGAAGGTCACTATTACATTGATACTGAAAAATATGTTTCCACGCATAACTTAAGTTCCATTTGACCCACAATGTTCAAACTTCATAGGATGATTGTCCATATTGGGTAGAAGACCCCTATTGATTTTGGGGTCAAAAGGTCAACGGTTAAGGTCATCCTTACTAAGAAAAAAAATACTTTCGGGCATATAATGCTCCGCCTAGCGGTGCTCTTGTTTAAAAACTATGGCCTTTTAGAAACATAATTTAACAGTAGAATTAAATGAAAAATGAACCTTTAAATAGAAAAAGAAATGAAAGATAAAAGAAGCTGATATTGTTAAATTAAATCGTTGATAAGAAGAAAAGATTGATCCATGTTAATGAGGCGGGCAGTTCATTTGCGGTCTAGCGAAACAATGCACTATATCATAGGACGCACTAATAAGGCCAAATGAAACACCAGTAAAAAAAATTGACAACATGAAGGCTCTTTCAAAAGGAATTATATAGTAAAAAA